TAAATAAATCTAAATGAAAGATCTCTGTGAGTGAGTTCCAGTGGAAAGAATGGGCCATCAAAGATGGAGGGTACCTTTCTCTGAAGGGAGGAGAGAACTTCCACTTTGATTATGGCCTTGTCTAAATAAGGTTGGAGTTTGTGAATTCAAGAGGCTTCCATAGCCTTGGCAGCTCATGACAAGAGCCTTGGGTAATTACTGACATCATAAATAAGAGTTTCAGTTGTTTCTCTTTTTCTTTTCTTTATTTTTTTTTTTAATTTTTTGCCAGGCAGAGTTAGACAGTGAGAGAGATAGACAGAGAGAGAGTTATAGACAGTGAGAGAGAGACAGAGAAAGGTCTTCCTTCTGTTGGCTCACTCCCCTAATGGCCACCATGGCCGGCGCTGTGCAGATCTGAAGCCAGGAGCTAGGTACTTCCTCCGGTCTCCCATGTGGGTGCAGGGACCCAAACACTTGGGCCATCCTCTGCTGCCCTCCCAGGCCACAGCAGAGAGCTGGACTGGAAGAGGGGCAACCGGAACAGAATCCGGTGCCCCAACCAGGGCTAGAACCCCAGGTGCTGGCGCTGCAGGTGGAGGATTAGCCAAGTGAGCCATGGTGCTGGCCACGAGTTTCAATTGTTAACAACAGGAGTCACTGTGTACTTACTCCCCATATAGGATCTCTGTCCTTAATGTGTTGCACTATGAGAATTAACAGTAAAATTATTCTTCAAACAGTACTTTATACTTTGTGTGTCTGTGTGAGTGGAAAGTGCTCAAAACTTTCATTAGTACATACTGTTGATCTTCTGTATATAAAGAAATTAAAAATGAATCTTAATGAAGAATGGGATGGGAGAGGGAATAGGAAACAGACTGATTTGTGTGTTGGAGGGTGGCTATGGGGAGAAAAACCGCTATAATCCAAAAGTTGTGCTTTTGATATTTATATTTATTAAATAAAATTTTTCTTAAAAAAAGAAATGTATATTTGGGGGCCAGCGCTGTGGTGCAGTGGGTTAAAGCCCTGGCCTGAAGTGCCGACATCCCATATGGGCACCAGTTCTAGTCCCGGCTGCTCCTCTTCTGATCTAGCTCTCTGCTATAGGCATGGAATGCAATAAAATTGGCCCAAGTTCTTGGGCCCCTGCACCCATGTGGGAGACTGGGAAGAATCTCCTGGCTCCTGGCTTCAGCTCAGCACAGCTCCAGGCATTGCAGCCATCTGGGGAGTGAACCAGCGGATGGAAGACCACTCTCTCTGTCTCTACCTCCCTCTGTGATACTGTCTTTCAAATAAATAAAACACATCTTTAAAAAATGTGTATCTAGAATACATTTCAGAGTGGTGAAAGCTAGCATAAATCTCAGAAAAATTGTAGTGCCAGGATTCTGCTATGCAGCTTGTGACCAGCTATGGTAGTAGCCATGTTACTGATAGAGTCTGTTGACCATTTTCCAGTAAGGGCAGAAGTCCCACTGACCCCAAAAGGAGCATCTGCCATGTTTGTAGTCCCACCTACCTGATGCCAGGTATGGTTTCTAGACAACACAACCTACTTTACTAGGCTGCCCCCACCAGATAATACCAGAAATTGGCAGGTGAAAAGACACTCTAACATGTCCAATTTAAATCCAAATCCTGAGACAAATGCTGGACTGCCAAATGAAATCCATCTTCAGAAGCTAAAGAATTAAATTCCAGCTTCTCCTCCATTAAAAATTAGCATAAAAACATTACAAACCACCTAATGCCACTTATAAATCAGTATATGTTCACTAACTGGTCCACACTGTACCTACTTCTCTGGCCAAATCCCATTAACTCTTGCAGTTTGTCTTGGCCTCACCTCCCTTGGAACAACCAAAATTGGAAATACCAAAACCATCTATATTTGCATTTTAGGTGATCTTTCTAATCCATGAATTCTGAAAAGAGAGAGTCCCATCTACTGATTTACTCATGAAATGCCTGCAAGGCTAGGGTTGGGACAAGCTGAAGCCACAAGAGTGGAACTCCATGCAAGTCTCCCACTAGGTGGCAGGAACTCAACTATTTGAGCTATCAGCCTGCTGCCTCCCAGGGTCTGCTTTGGCAGGAAGCTGGTATTAGGAGCCAGAGCCAGGTATTGAACCCAGGCACTTTAAGTTGGATGCAGGTGTCTGCATGATTCAGCCAGACATCTGCTCTGAGTTTGAATATTTTTTATCACTTCAAAAACTCATTCCCTTCAGAAGTCAGTCCTCATTGCCCCTCCCCTGCCTGTGCAGCCATTAGTTGACTTTCTGTTGCTGTGGATCTCTATTCTGTGGGTTTCACACAATTGGATCACATCCTGTATGGTGGATTGTATTTGTATTTTTTTACTTTGCTATTTTATTTATTATTTGTGTTTACTGAACTAAAACTGATTTTGATACATTGCTAATTAGTAGAAGAAATGAAAAATCCTTTCCTCTTTTCCTTTGATTCCTTTAGCACAAATATGTGTACATAATTCCTCTTTCCAAAATTTTTAAAACATTTAGTTTTTATTTGATGGTCAGAGAAAGAGGTCTTCCATCATCTGGTTCACTCCCCAGATAACCATGATGCTGGGGGCTGTGCCAGGCTAAAGCTAGCAGCCTAACTCTCCATCTGGGTCTCCCATTTGATTGGCAGGGACCCACACATTTCAGCCATCTAGCATTACTTTCCCAGGTGCATTAGCAAGTAGTTGAATGGGAAGTAAAGCAGCTGGTATTTGAACTGGCACTTGGATATGGGATGCCAGCATTGCAAGCAGTGTTAGCTTGCTGTGCCGCAACATGTGCCCCATGTGTCTAGCATCATGTTTCTGAGTTCATCCATATCAGAGCAGACCAGAACTTCATTTGTTACTTCTTTAAAAATAAATAAATAAAAAAAGTAACAAATGAAGTTCTGGTCTGCTCTGATATGGCAAATGACTGATACTAAGCCCTATTTGTTTTTCGAAGAGGGTGTTTTGCAGCCCCTTCTAAATTGTGTGTCTTCATTTCTGTGCTTCTAGCTATCCATTCTTCATGTTGGAGAATGTGAGCCTTGATACTGTTGACATTTGAGGCTGGCTCATTCTCTGATGATGGGGGTGGCCTGTGCATCATGTGGTATCTGAATAGCATCCTTGGCCTTGTCCCACTATGCCAAAAGCATCCCCTCTACTGTGATGCTCAGTAACATATCCAGATCCACTGGAGTCTGTGTCTGTGTGGGAAGACATGCCAGAGAGCTTTTTGGCTCATTTCCTTCATGAGCCCACAAAAAAAGGTCACAGGAATTCATACTGACAGGGCAACCACCTGCAAGCCAAGAGAAGGGGCCTGTGGCCAAAGAAGCTGCCTTGCTTGACCTAAGACTTGAAGCTTCCATAACTCTGAGACAAAGAACTATGCCCATCTTGGCGTTTTGCAGCAGGAACAGACTAACAAACCTGAGGGAGCTATGAAGAGCAAGAACCGATAGATCCCTGTCCTTCTAGAACATTAGAGCCAGTCTTTCTCTTGCCTGCCAGTATTAGTGCTCCAAAGCTGTCTGCAGTGCTCATTGCCAATAGCAGGGCTATTATAGATTGCAGGTGAAAAGTTGGAAAACACTCATTTTATTGAGCTGGTGTATTCAGAGTGGCTTGTACATTTTTAAATGGTTGTTAAAGTGCACATTTGGCCTAGTGGGTAAGAAACTGGCTAAGGTGCATGCATCCCACATGATAGTGCTTGGTCTTAATCTCTGGCTCCAGCTCCCGACTCTAGCTTCCTGTTAATGTTCACCCTGGAATTGGCAGTGATCTTCCAAGTCCTTGGACCCCTGTCACCCATGTGGGAGACCTGGATGGAGTTTGTGGTTCCTGGCTTTGGCCGGTGCCAGTTCTGACTGTTAGTGGCATTTGGAAAGTGAACTGCTCAGTGGGAGTTTTCTTTCTGTCTCTTCCTCAATCAAATAAATAAATAAACATTCTCAAAATTAGATGAGTATTTCATAATATACAGCATATGAAATTCAGGTGTGCCTATGTATAAAGTTTTATTGGAACATTGCTCACCCATTTCATTCTGTATTATCTGTGACTACATTCATGCTAGAGTGACATAGCTGAATACAGTCCTTGCTTGTTGAGGGTAATATTTCTTATATCCCCACAGATATCAAAATCCATGGGTGCTCAAATCCTTTTAAAAAATAGTGTAGTATTCACATAGAATCTATACCCATCCTTCAATATGTTCTAAGTCATCTCCAGATGACTTGTGATATCTAATAGGATATAAATTCTATGTGAATGAGCATTGTTCTGTATTGTTTAAGGAATCATGATAAGAAGGAGTCTGTTCAGTACAGATGCAAATAACATAGACCTGACTATGTGGCACCTGTCAGCTGCAGTGACACATTTTTCCCCGAGGACTTTGTGCCTATGTCTATGGAACCTGTAGATGGTCAGGGCTCATATTGTTTCTAGTTCTAACAGTGGCCTATGTAATATGGAGCTGGAAGTGTTTCCTGTCTTTTTCCAGAGAAAGCTTGCTAAACAACCCCAACCCCTTCCCTAGGAACAGGTTTAAGCACCTTAATAAGTTTGACATTTGCAATCTGTTAAGTTGGCCCAACCTCTGTTCTCTGGACATCCTACCCCTGTCCATGTTATTCAGGTACACAGAAGGGCTGATCACTTCCTGTGTTTCCATCTCTCTCTCTCTCTCTCTCTCTCTCTCTCTTGCATGCGCGCGCCTTCATACTCAGGCCTTGCTGAACCCTCCTCTCAGAATATCCTCTCTCATGACCCTGAGCCCACTACACTTTGTCCCATCCCTCTCTCCTCCTTGCTGGGTCCCTGTCAAACTTGCCTGATGAGAAAAATGTGGATCTTGCCTCTCTAGGAAGAAGCTCTATGTTTTGTTCATTCCTGTTCAATTAGAGGCATACAGTACACACAACCTCTGAAGAATGAATAATGAGCTCCTGGATGATTTTAGATTTTTGCTTAATGAAGGTGAAACTGTGCCCACACCCAATAGAGTTCTTTTCACTTTTATTGTCTCCCAGCTTGGGCATTAGGCTGTGTCTCATTGCCCCTGTGATGATAGCTGGTGCTCTTGCTGATGAGATGGCTCAGCCTTGCTGAGTTGTCCTTGGGCATTTGCTGGCACAGGTTCCTCATCAGCTTTCCTGTTCTTGTGTAGAGAAATGAACTTGACCTTTCTTCCTGTGGCACAGAAAGCCTGCTGATTGCCAAGTACTCCTGATGGTGCCAAGATGAGAAGAAAAAAAGTATAAGGTCAGGAATAATAGGACCCATTTCAATGAAAAGTTTTTTTTTTCCTCTTAAGTAAGCATTTTCTAGAGAGGAAATACCAGGCCAGAGAAGAGGGACAGTGGCTCTATTTCCTCCTTCCTCATTGTCTTACCTCTGTGGATTCTGCATTGATCCTCCTGCCCTGTGTCCGGGCAGTGTCAGAAGGTGTTAGTCCTCTCAGTGAGTGGAGCCCCAGGCTGGGGACCAGACATATGCTTTGGATGCAAGGATGTGCAGGCCATGAGCTGAATTCTGTGTCTAAAATCAGAGTGTGTTTATTTCAAAGTTGGAAAGAGCTTTCCATCCACTCCCCAATGTCACCAAGGGTTATGACCATGTGGGCAGAGGGCCTGAGCACTGAGTGTGCCTCAGAGGAGGGGACCTAAGCTGGACCAATAATTTTGGGGCCAGGAATAAGTAAAGGTTCAGACATGCATGTGGGGCAAGGTGCTATTAGGGTTACATCTACAGGGACTGGGCTGGGGAAGCAACCTGCAGGATGTCAGTTATAGGTCTTCCTGCCCCTCCTTCACCCTTTGTGTACTTGTTACTTTGAACTTGGGCATTATGTTTTGATCTTTGCCCCTCCAGAACTCAGCAGCTCCACCACATAAATTTACATACAGTGTTCATCTCCTAAGTGTTCTTGCATACAATGGGTGTCCCATACACACTTGAGGACGCTGAGGATGCTCAGGCCCTCTGCCCACATGGTCATAACCCTTGGTGACAGCCTGATCTCAGGTCCCCTTCTATGCCTGCACTCTTGAGACCAAACATGGACAGAAGAAACCCTGGCTGTCATGCTACCATCTGGGAGCCCAGCTCCAGTGAACACATGCAGTCCTATTCTGTCCCCAGTCCTCTCCTGGACCTTACCCTCCTGTTTTTCCTCCCAGCTCCTGGGCCTGGTCTCCTCTTCAGTCTCATCTGGGGATCTTGCTTCACTGGGAAGACAGAGGGTCCTATCCTGCTCTGGCCCTGTGGATAGACCCCTCTGCTGGAATCAAAGGACCACTTGTGGTGTGATTCTGGAGGATGTGCAGGGCAGTTCTTCTTGTTCCTGTCATTGAGCAGTGAAATAATTGACCTTTTCAAATCAAACCAACAGATGCTGTAAACACTTAAAGGGCAAGCTCTGAGATCTGGGACCCTTTGTATCACTTCTTAGGAGGAGGTGCCAGGGTGTTCTCAGCCATCCCTGTTCCCAAACACCAGTGGGTCTGTAACTGTAGGGCCTTTCCCTAATGTGTGAGCTTTGCAGCACAGTGTGTGTGTGTGATTAGAGCCAACCATGGTTGGTTGTTTGCAAGGTAAAAGGCTAGACCTCAAGAGAAGCATATAGGAGAGCACTGGGCATGTGAAGAAGCGTGGCCACAGGGAAGGGGCTGTTCCAGTGGATTCTGCTGCAGATGAGCAGAATCCGGTCGAGCTCAATCAATACACTGTAATTACCACTTAGCCAGCAACAGTCTGTTGCATCCAGAGATGAAACCTTGCTAAGATGTAATTTTTATAGCACTCATTTTTAATTAAGCAAAGGTGATATGCTGAATAACTATTGAATGTCAAGCAAAAAGCCTGTCTGATATTGCTTTTGAGAATTTCCACTCAGAAAAAAAGTGGGAGTTTTCACAATAGAAAGTTGTGATGGCACATAGAGACTGTTGATATTTCAGATACAGTTAAAATTTAACTCATTCCTTTCCCTGCACCCAGCAGTACCTCATGTTATATAATTAGAGATATAGCAATCACAAATGACATTTTAACTTGTAAAATTGTGTGATGTTACTTACCATTTGGAAATACAGGAATAAGAACCTGGTCCCATTTCACCAGACATGAATTTCTAGTACAGTAGTTGTTCTCTTAAGAGTTGGTATCATGGGATGACAGTTCCTCCTGTCATCCCATCACTGGTCGCTACTAGCCAGTGGCCTGAATGTCTTATGTTGCTGTATTGGTCAGGATGTCTGCAGTTTACATTTAAAAACTGGTTTGTTGTGTCACAAGAGGTGACTAATGGTGCATACCTCTCTTTGTATCCTCTTCAGTGGGTTTCTCACATGTTCTTATTACTAACCCCTTCTCAACGTATGTTTTGCAAATATTTAGTCCCTTTCTGTTCTTGCCTCTTCACTCTAGTCATTGTATTCTTTACTATGTAGAAGCTTGTTAATTTGATGGAAGCACATTTGACTATTTGTTTTCTTTTCTGTGCTTTTGAGACCATTCAAATATACTGAAGCATTTCATATGCTTTCTTCTATTAGCTCATAGTTTCAGGACTTAGGTTTATATCTTGAACCATTTTAGGTTGATTTTTGTGTGTGTTGAGAGACAGGTCTAGCTTCATTCTTTTGCATATGGGTGTCCACTTTTCTCAATGGTATTTTATTGTGAAAACTATTTATTTTTCAATATGTATTCTTAGGACCTTGTTAAAGGTCACTTGGCTGTAGATATGTGGGTTTATTTCTATGTTCTCCATAATTGACTTTTTTACTAAATATTTTAAAAAATTAATTAATTTTGCTGTGGCCTGGGAGTACAGTGGAGGATGGCCCAAGTGCTTGGGCCCTGCACCCCATGGGAGATGAGGAGAAGCACCTGGCTCCTGCCATCGGATAATCGCGGTGCGCCGGCCATGGCAGCCATTGGAGGGTGAACCAACGGCAAAAGGAAGACCTTTCTCTCTGTCTCTCTCTCTCACTGTCCACTCTGCCTGTCAAAAAGAAAGAAAGAAAGAAAAAAGAAAAAAAATTAAATAATTTATTTGAAAGACAGTTTCAGCAGGGAGAGACAGAGGGAAGGGGAGAGAAAGGGATGGAGAGAGCAAGAGCTCTCTACTACTTACATAGCTAATACCAGTTTAAATTTGAAGATATAATAAACACCTTTAACAGCCTGTCTTGCAAGAATTCAAGAGCCCAGAGGAGCAACAATAGGTCAGTTACATTCCCCAGCTGATTTAAGGAGCAAAGAGCTTCATTCAGGCTGTCCATGTGGGTATAGGGGTCCAAGCACTTGGGTAATCTTCTGTTACTTTTCTGGACACATTATCAGGGATCTGGATTGGAAGTGGAGCAGCTGGAATTTGAACTGGTGCCCATATGGAATTCTGTTGCTGCAGACAGTGGTTTAACCCTCTACACCACAGCATCAACCCCCAGGATAGACTTTGGTGTTTGTGTAGACTGCAGATAAATCACAACCAGGAGGGCAAGAAGGTGTAGATCAGGGACAGGATACAGAATTCCCTCGGGATAAAAATAAGAAGAGAGTGAAATAGAAATATCTGATAATGGAGATCAGAATGATCCATCTCAATGGGATGAATCAGGAGATGTTTGTATGTCTCTAGATGATTAACTGACTTGCCATACTCCTCAAGAATGCTGTGTTTGGACAAAATGTGAATGAACAATTTGGATTGTTGAACTTGAAGACTTGTAAAATATGCTACATGCTGGATGAGGTAGCTATATTCCTGTATAAACTGTAGGATCAAAGTCTTATGGGAAAAAAAGCACTTAAAAAAATATTTGCACAGGACTGTATAGCAAATAACCATATCGTTGGATTACATGGAGTCCCCACATATTCAGTCAGTTATCAAAGTAAAATATTTTTTATTTATAGGATATGCAGTAACTGGGTCCTTTAAAATATTTTACCTGTCTTTCCAGAGCTTACATTTATGTGCCACTTCAACATGAATGCAGAAAACCCATTTAGGAAGTACAGTGACTGTGACCATCAATCTAACCATCAAACCACTCAGGTTAGTTTGTACTAGTAGAATTTTGTTTCTATTTGATTAATTTTATTTTTTGATACAGATTTTCAGTGAGGGGCTGTTTCTTTCTAATTTACTCTAGTAATACACCCTCTCATAAGTTAAGATCATGTACTATTAGGATTCTCAGACAGTTACTTCCCTGTGGTCCTCTCTTTGTCATAGTTCTTTGTCCTCATTTTCCTCATTTATTAGATGTCATGCTAAATTTAGCACCTTGACAATGAAGAGTTTATGAAACATTACAGGAAGGGGAAATTGGACAGTAACATGTAGCTTTCAAATTTGGGGAAAAAAGAAAACCTTAGCTGGTTTTAGTAGAACTATCCTGATGGAAAAGTGTGTCAAATGAGTTAATTCAAAAAAAAATAGTTAGAACACTGATACTTGTTAGGTGTATAATACCTCTCAGTTGTTTCATGGACATGAACCAAGAGGAAATGTAAAAGGGGAATGGAAATGAGGGTGAAAACAGAAAATGAAAGGATCAGTTGAAAAAATATATAAAAAGCCTGAAGATGACTGGAATAGTATAATATGGGGAAAGGTGTGAAGAAAAATAGGTTTTCAAATGACTTAAAATATAAAACTTAAATAAGATTTATTTATATTTTTAAAGTTTTCCTGACTACAGGATGGGGGATTTAGATTCATTTTTCTGAATAATGGTCCCCAAAGCTAATTTTTTTGAGTGCCACATTTTCCATTATGCAACTTGGATTATTTAATCCCTTACAAGGTGGGTGCTGTTGTCTCTATTTTATAGAAGAATGGCTTAGAGAAATTCAGAAACTCGCCTAGTTTAAAGCAGCTACGACAGAGCTGGTGTTTGACCAGATCTGATTCTGAAGCCCGTGCTCTTTCTAGGAGGCTGTATTGCTGCCTCATTGAACAATTGTTCATAGAATTTTAGCTCTTTAAATGAGTCTCTCTATGGAGATTTGTATTTCCCCTATATAACAGCTATGTAAGTAGTTCTATGTCATCTTCCCCCTACCATCCAATACCCTTACAACTAGGACCAGCACCCATATGGGATGCTGGCATCACAGGTGGTGGCTTAACCCACCCACAACAGCAGCCCCAGGATGGGGGACTTTCTGTAAGGTGGATGACACCTTAAGAAGGCTGTTCCTCATGAAGAATCTTAAGAAGGCACTGTATTTTTCTGAAATTAGCATTCAGGTATTGGAAAAAATTATAATACTTGTGCAACATTTCAACACCTACATCTAGGCTGAATTGCCCACACTAGGCCACTGGCCTTTAATTTCCTTATCAGTTTTTTTTTCTTTAAGAAGGCACCATCTGGGACCCACACTGTGGCACAGCAGATTAAAGGCCTTGCCTGAAGCACCTGCATCTGCTATGGGTGCAGGTTCTAGTCCCTGCTGCTTCTCTTCTGCTTCAGCTCTCTGCTATGGCCTGGGATAACAGTGGAAGATGGCCCAATTCCTTGTGCCCCTGCACCCACGTGGGAGATCCAGAAGAAGCTCCTGGCTTTGGATCGACACAGTTCCAGCCGTTGTGGCCATCTGGGGAGTAAACCAGCAGATGGAAGACCTCTCTCCGTCTCTACCTCTCTCTGTAACTCTCTTTCAAATAAATAAAATAAATCTTTAGAAAAAAAGAAGGCACTATCTTAGAAACAGAGAGTGAGTCATTCCCATATCATAAATCTATTGGGCCTTGATCTTAGACTTCCTGGCTTCCAAAACAATGAGAAATCAATTCCTGTTCTTTTTCAGTTACCCAGGTCAGGGTCTTGTTATGGTAACCCCAAAGGACTGAAATATCCTGGAATGTCTTTTCTTCCTCCTTATGATTTGAAGCAGTTTTGGAGGTTATAGATTTCACAATTTGCTCTTACTTTGCCTTCCACACTGGACTACATCAACCCACTACCTTGCAGCTTTCCAGGGTTTCTGAGGAGCAATCTGATGATGAACTTCAGGGTAAATGATGAAAGAAACCTCCCTCTCAGCTCTATGAATATGAACCATGCACCTGATGGTGACTTGGCAAGCATAATATTTTGTTCTATTGTCATGATGCCAGTGAAGTGGTACCAACGTGTTGAGATGTATCATGTTGAATATTCTGAGTGTAGACTAGAGGAGTTCTACCAAAGCCAAGAGTTATTTACAAATTTTAAAACTAGAAATGAAAAGTCCATTGACACAGCCTTCAGCTGTTAATTTATCAAAACCTAAATATCAATTACTATCACCAACATAAACAAAATTTTTGGGGCCCTTTCACTTTAACCAAGTAGAAAGTTTCTTGAGAAAACCACCAAGGTGTATCATCACCCATGATTGGTTTATAGCTTGCTCTGACATCAGATGAGCCATTGTTATGTCATTCCAATTGCCTTAATAGTTCCCTGGCTTGGCCTAGGTTCTTGTTCAGTTGGCCCAGGAAGCTCTGTGGAGACTGCCTGAAGGACTTGGATGACATTTACTGGTTTTCCCTTGTCTTGTCCTTTGTGTTGTTGTTTTGTCTGTGTGTTGTTTTGTCTGGTCTATTTGTTCTTTTTACCCTAGTGGTTCTTTTCCTTTTTTTTTTTCCATTTTGTTTTGTTCTTTTTTCTATTTTTTCAATTTCTCTCCCCCTCCCATTTTTACTTTGTATTCTTGTGTCTTTATTTTCTTTAAATATTTATTTATTTATTTATTTTTTGTTATCACAAGCTAAATGTATTTTATGCTGTGTTCATTTTATCATTCTTGTGTTTCTCCCATTTTCTGATTGTTTTCTCATTTTTAATCCTTTGATTTAGTTAGGAACATTATAAGACTTATTGATTAGAATTGTTACCATAGTTACCATAGTTGGTGTTGCTTTACTTTATCATTTTTAGTATTCTGTGTGTTTTATAACTTTTAATTCTTAATTTTGATACAGTTTTAGTGATTAGTATACTATAGTTCATATAGTTAGCATTATCTGTTAGCATATTCAGTTTGTTCATTTTTGTTTCAATTTTGCTTGTTTGATTTTAATTTGTTTCACAGTTTTTATTGTTAATTTAGGTGATTAGTAAGTGTTCCAAGTGTCAGATTGCAGGGGTGGGGGGTGGGGGTGAGTATCCCCACAATGGAAGGTCTCACAGCCTTCAACAGTGAGGAGGTCCTGGATGGGTACCAGGTTCTCAGGTTCATTGGCCAGGGCAGTTTTGGGCAGGTGAAACTGGCCTATCATTGAGAAAGCAGGACCCAGGTGGCTGTGAAGATCATTGAGAATAGTGACCAGCACTCCTGCAGCTTCCAGCAGTTGTGTGCAGAAGCAGAAATAATGAAGGGGCTGCATCACCCTCACATTATAAAACTGTTGCAGCTAAGGCACACAACAGAGAGAACCTATATTTTTATGGAGTATGCAATCAGGGGGACCTTAGATGTTTTATGATAGAACGAGGCTACCTACAAGATGAAGAGATAAGTCAGCTATTTAACCAAACTTTATTAGCTGTGCATTACTGCCATATGTAGCACATCGTGCACAGAGATTTAAAGTTAGAAAACCTCCTTCTAGATGCCAATCTAAATATTAAGTTGACCGATTTTGGGCTCAGCTGCAAATTGGCTGATGGAGAATGCTGGAAGTATTTGTGTGGGACCTTTGAATACTGTGCCCCAGAGGAATTCTTAGATGAGGAGTTCAGTGGGTACAAGGCTGATGTCTGGAGTCTGGGTGTGGTCCTGTACACCATGGTGACAGGGTCACTACCTTTTTTTTATATATATACAATTCATTACAAATAGAAAATCAATAACACACTGAATGTATGCCTACTTGATTTGAAGTCTTCAGTATGAATAAATTCAACACAGTCCTTTAGATGCAATTTCTTTTGGGTTGACAGCAACACTTTTTGTTATATTGTATGTCTTGTAAATTCCAATAAGTCTATCCAAAATCTCAAATATGTTGTTTCGAAGAGAAATTATTATGAACTGGGCATTTTTTGTTTGTTCATATATATAAAATGCAACAATGGACACATTTTTTAAATCAAGGGCTGCATAAATTTCATCCATGAAGTAAAGGGGAGTGGGTTTGTAATGATGAAGAGCAAATACTAAAGCCAAAGAACTAAGTGTTTTCTCTCCTCCAGAAAGGTTGAAGATCTTCTTCCAACTTTTCTTAGGTGGTCGAACGCTGAACATGATTCCTTCAGAGAAAGGATCCAAGCTGTCTACAAGCTCCAGTTCAGTGTCCCCTCCCAAGGTAAGCATCTGATAATTTTCTTTTAATTTATTTGTTATTATATAAAAGCCTGCCATAAATTCATTTAGCCTCTGTTTCCACAGATCTTCATATGCTTGTCCAAAATTATCTCTTTTGTAAGTAATTTTGTCCAATTCTGCTACCTGTTGCAAATATAATTCTTCCTTCTTTTTATATTCTGCAATGTCACCAAGGTTTGGTTTCATTTCATGACACTGGGCTTCCAAAAGTGCATCTGATTTGTTATGGAATCTGGATTCTTGATTGCTTCAAGGTCTTTGGGGCTCAAAACTGAAACCTCTTCAACAGGATTATCTTCTATGGGATGCAGTGATATTTTTGAAATCTCTTTTTGGCAATATTTTATTTTATAATTATGTTCAGCAATGTGGCCATCTATTTGCTCAAGTTTCAACTTAATACTAAGTGCATCTTTTTGAAGAGCATGTTCATTTTCTTGAATAACTTTCAGTTCTTGAAGTAGATTACGATGTTCTTTCTGGATCTCAGGTAATGACTCCTCTGCAGTATTTGTATTTTTGATGACCTCTGTTGCTTTATCTTCAAGACTTTTTAGCTCTGCTGTTAGGTCTTCTACTTCTTTCTCAGTATCTTTTATTTCTTTCTCTGTACAAATGACTGATTCTTGTGCTTTTTTAAGATTTCTGTCAGCCATCTTGATTGCTACCTGGGCTTTTGTAATAGCAGAAGCACATTCATCTAACTGCTTATTTATTTTATCAAGTTTGTCTTGTTGGGCCTTGAGTTTATGGTTATTGATTTCTACAATGATACTGTGTAATCATTTAACCTCAGCTTCTACAGTACCAGCTTTCTCAGCCACATCATAATATTCTCTTTTAAACACACTAACATTTTCTTCAAGCAATTTCTGCTTTTTTTATCAGGGGCTGTAGCAAGTACATTAGCTTCAAGTTCCTTAACTTGGACATTTAGATATTCTTCTTGCTCTGATAATCACTGGATGCTTGCAGTGAACTTTTCTAGTGTGTTTCTCATTTCTTGTTCACTATGCCATAACTTAACTACTGCTTCTTCAAGCTGTACTTTTTGTTCTTGGATTTGCATTGCTCTTTTAGAGTCTCTCTGCAACTGTGATTCCATTTTATTTACCTCTTCTTCAGAGATTTCAATGACAACCAATGAACCCATTCTTCCTTTCATTACTCTGCTTCCACCACCAGTCATAGTACCTGACTGTTCTATGATTTGTCCTTGTAAAGTTACCACTCTCCATCTTCTATCTTTCTGGTATGCTACTCTTGTAGCTTGATTCAAGTTGTCAGTTACCAAGGTATCCCGTAAAGCAAACTAAAAAGCTTGGAGAATTTCCTCATCTTTTACTTTGACTAAATCAAATAATCGAGGAGTATTTTCAGGAGTTTGAATTTTATTCTTTTTTTTTTCCCCACACGTCACTACCTTTTGATGGGGAGGATTTTGTGCAGCTGAAGGTAACCATCCTGTCTGAATACTACAGAATCCTCTACTACATAAACCCAGAGCTTTGTAACCTGTTGGACAGGTTGCTGACCTATGACCCTGAGGCAAGGCCCATAGTGGCAGAAATCATAGGCCACCAGTGGCTCAGTGTAGGACATGAAGCACCTGAAACAAATGAAGAGTTTCTGTTTCTTCCCCAGGAACAGGAAATATGAGAATTCCCATGGGGCCTATGCTCTCCGCTGTAGCTTAATGAATGGGATGACTCCTTGTCCTCTGTGCCACACTGGGTGATATGCCAACAGCAGGGATACAGCATGCAAAAAATACATGGACATAGTGAAGTGGAGCCTCTAGTGTCTCCTCAGGGTCCTGAAGCTCTAAGTTCCCTTGAGGACCTGGGATTCCAGCTGGACCATAAAGCAGGCTCCCTGCCACCCAAGCTCCAACCCAGTCCCCTGTACTTCAGAAGGACAACAACAAAGTGAAGCCCATGCCTCAGGCCATCCCCAGTGCTCAGAGCTGCCCCATTCTCCAGTGCCTCCTGGGACACTCAGACTGCAATAGCAGAGCCCGTGAGTGTGCCGCTTTCAGCTCCCAACCACTGATGCTTGAAGAAGACCAATCAGGACAGAATCCTTGCCATGGGACTCCCAATATGAGTAGCAGTGAGTCCTGCAGGACAGATAGTTCCCAACTGGTCATGTTGACAAGGATCCCTGCTGCCTGTGCAGTCCTCAGCCAGGATCCTCTGACCTCTCTCTCCACCACACTGAGCACCAACAGCAGTGAGGATGATTTAGAAGTCAGGAGCTGCTCCCAGGGAGCACCAGAGAGACAGAGCATCCCAGGAAACAGCAGCAGGAGGAGGAGGCAGGGACCTAAGATACTGAGGCTAAAAAGAGCAAGGATGGCCCAGGGATTGGCAGGAGGATTGTAAAATTCTTCACCTGGATGTGTTGTATACTGCAGCCCCAGAGGAAAGCCCTTGAGTCCAGAGTACAAAGTGGCATCTCAGTAGCCTCTTGGGAAATGCCCAAGAGGTGGGGCCCTTATATGAGAAGTGAAACAATTAAGAGGTAGTCATGGAATCCTGTCTGGGAGAGGGAAGGTGAGGAGGCAGTAAGAGAAATTACAGGCAGAGAGGGAATATACTGTCCCATTTTTCAAATGGGACAATAAGGTAAGGTAACATTTTTTCATGGTTTGGGGTCATGACCATTTCCCAAGAGAGAAGATACAGATACATGGTGTTCAAGTCTGTTTAGAAAATGAATCCATTAATATAACTCTCTAATTAAACTTCCTGTACCCAGGCCTTATTAGACCCCTTCCTTAGTTCCCCTCCTGACTAGCAGGAGTATCATTTTCTCAAGAAAACCTACTTTTGCTTTTGCTCCCCCACCCTCATTATCTGTGTTGTGATTATTTATTGCTGTGAGACAAAGAATGGACTTGAAATTCCTGCAGCATCATTGGTGCCATGACTTGGATTGCCTCAGATCCATTGGAAAGGTGAGTAAGGCAGACTGTTTCTCTGGTTTTTGGAAAACACCTGATCTTCTACATAGTCATTTTTCTTTTAAAAACCTCAGGTCTTTGAGCCAATTAAAAGCAATTGGTGTGGGATACTGGTTTTAAGATACAGGGCCTAAGTTGGATGACACTTTTTGTCCTCCTTCCACTTTATTCTTTCTTTGATTATTGCCTGCATTATGTGCTCAGGTGGCTCTCTGCCCTGGGAACTCTTATTCTGAGTTTCATTCTCCAAGCCCACGTTCCCAGTTCCCTGGATGAGAATCTCCTGTGACAACTTAAAGCTCCTAGATCTGAACTGAGGAGCCTGCATTGCAGACCTAGGTGGCGTCTCCCATTGATCTGTATTCTTGTGTGCCCCAAAGAACTCAGGACCCATATGTATGGGAAGAAGTCACCTGTGCCAGTTAACTAATGCCCATGCTTTCCATTCTCCTGCCCAGGTTTTTCTTTGCCAAAGAGCTCGTTGGAAGTAATCCCAGTAATCCCAGAGCCATGCTCTTAAAGATGACCTCCTGGGAAAATTTCTATCCTCATACCACACCGCTGTTCCCCCTCTGCACATTCAACAGTCTGGGCAGCAAGGATCACTTGTCCTCCCTCCAAACTCTGGCCATGAGAGTATTAGTTGAGACCCCCTTTGTGGAACCTCATTTCCAAGTTCAGCCATATGTCATGGCTCAAAACTGGGGATGTAAGGCAACTGGTTTCACTCACACTAGGCATAGGTACAAAGACCTGTATAGTGCAGGTGCCTAGTCCTGTCTCCACCTCCTGGAGTGCACTGTTAGAGCCTGACTGGGGGAAGACAGCATAGGTATGCTTGCTTATTCCTACTAGCCATTTCCTCCCATTTCATGGACCTCAGCATGCAGGATGCCAGAGAGCATTAAATGAGTACAAATCTTATCCAACATAAAGAAACCTGATCGGGAGGAGTGTGTTTAGGTACACACACCTGGTCCTATGGGCTGCTGCTGCCCTCATCCTGGACCTCATGGTGTACAGGAGGCTGCAGAGCAGGAAATGGGGTAGCATGAGAGAGAAATGCTGAAGCAAGCTTCTCTCTTTATCTTCTCAGCACAGATGGGAAACAAATCATTTATAACTGGCTGTCCTTTGGGTTGTGTTCTTAAACACTGAAATTCCTTTGACTGCCAGAATTAAAAAAAAAAAGAGAAGGTTGTACTTTCTCTGCACCATGGCTTGGCTTATTTTCAAACTACAGGATGAAGAGAAATGGCTTCCTGAGGAACCTAGATATTTTGCCTAATGTCTGTCTCCACTTTCTTTCACAATATGGTGCTAGATCACATCTTTCCTCCATAGAATAATTTAAAAATCCATTATCAGGTTGTGGAGCCAAAGTTCTGTTGTGCTTGTAATAGGGACCACTCCACTCTAGTGCCTGGTTTCAAATTTGTGTTTTGTTAACTTTACTCCTTTTCCTAGTGTGAGATGGGTGGAGAAAGACTCCTCTCTCAGCTCAGCATTCCTCTGCAGGAAGGCATCTCCCTTTCAGTGACTTTCAGTGACTCCCTTCCCCCTCTATGACATTTGGCTATATAACAGTCTCATGTAACTGGACGTCAGCTTTAAAGTGATTTCTCCCTTTTGGAGCTTAAATATCACTGCCTTCAGAAGGAAACCTGTTGAAGTGAAATGGACACTATGAGAAACGGTGACTTGATCAGCATAGCCCTGACTGTTAATGAACAACTTAATGCATTATCCCTCTTAGTAGTTTTTTTTGTCTGCTCTACTTAATATGACTGGTTTAATTCTGTAATTATCACACAGTTATTCTTAAGTGTTGAAATTTAACTGAAATGTGATCCCTGTTAAACATAAGAGTGGGAATAAGAGAGGGAAGAGATGTACAATTTGGGACATGCTCAAGCTGACTTGCCCCAAATGGTAGAGTTAAAAACATACCAGGGGACTCCAATTTAATCCCATCAAGGTGGCATGTACCAATGCCATCTCACTAGTCCAAGTGATCAATTTCAGTTCACAATTGATCATAATGAAAGGACTAAGAGTCAAAGGGAGCACATAAACAAGTCTAGTACCTGCTAATACTAACCGATAGAATAAATAAAGGGGAGAGCGATCCAACATGGGAAGCGAGATACTCAGCAGACTCATAGAATGGCAGATGTCCTAAACAATACTCTGGCCTCAGAATCAGCCCTAAAGGCATTCCGATCTGGCTGAAAAGCCCATGAGAGTATTTCAGGCATGGAAAGCCAAGACACTCTGGCAAAAAAAAAAAAAAAAAAAAAAAAACCAAAAACCTAAATGAAAGATCTCTGTGAGTGAGATCCCAGTGGAAAGAACAGGTCTTCAAAGAAGGAGATACCTTTCTCTGAAGGGAGGAGAGAACCTCCACTTTGACTATGACCTTGTCTAAACAAGATAAGAGTCGGAGAACTCAAGGGGCTTCCATAGCCTTGGAAACTCATGACTGGAGCATGGGGAGATTACTGAGGCCATAAACAAGAGTGTCAATTTGTAAAGTCAACAACAGGAGTCACTGTGCACTTACTCCTCATGTAGGATCTCTGTCCTTAGCGTGCTGTACATTGAGACTTAATGCTATAACGAGTACTCAAACAGTATATTTCACTTTGTGTTTCTATGGGGGTGCAAACTGTTGAAATCTTTACTTAATGTATATTAAACTGATCTTCTGTAAAAAAAAAGAAGAAGAAGAAGAAATTATCAATTCCCAAATTGACTCTCACTGGGATTAAACATGACAATAGGTCTGATCTGATTTCATCATCATTTAAAAAATCATCTATTATTTTTCACTTTATGTTTCTGTGTGGGAGCAAACTGTTGAAATCTTTACTTAATGTATGCTAAACTGATCTTCTGTAGATAAAGAGAATTGAAAATGAATCTTGATGTGAATGGAAGGGGAGAAGGAGTGGGAGAGGGGAGAGTTGCGGGTGGGAGGGACGTTATGGGTGGGAAGCCATTGTAATCCATAAGCTGTATTTTGGAAATTTATATTCATTAAATAAAAGTTAAAAAAATTTATTGACTTTTCAATGATCCACTAATGTAATAGTGAAAATTCCAAAGGTAGATTATGTTCTTTAGTAAAACTAAATACATAAATAATGTCATAACACCCCCCCAAAAAAAAGTTTCCAAACTTGTTTTCTAAGTTGGTTAAATTGGTTTGGATAACATAACAGGATGTGATTAGAGTCAGATTTTAATAACCTTTAGGGTGTATTTTACAGAGAAAGAAACATTAGTTTCAACCCATGAATCAAAAATGTGGTGTTTCCATGTATCAATGCTTGGCCTTGGTACTCCCTGAGATTGAATGAGAAATGGCCACTTGGTGGATTTCTTGTTTATGTCATTGTTTTCCTGCTTAACATTGTTTAATTTAAATAATAGGAGATGATTCCCTGTATCCAAGTTTTATGCAGGTAGACCAAAGTGAGCCACAACAGAGTGGTTCAAAAGTGATTTATTTAATGTGCTAATTCTTCTAAGGTTTTTGTATCCCTTTTTGTGACCAACAAAGAAAAGAGCTTTTTAAATTGATTTATATGTTATTTAGGTTATACAAGTTTCATATGTTTCCTATATACAGCTTTCAGGACACAATGGGACTTCCTCTCCCTCCCACTCACATTCCAACTCCCCCATCTTGGATTCCCATTCTTAAGTTTGACAGTGAACTCTTGTCAGTATACTTAGTGATCATACAGTTAACCAGCATCAAAGCTTACAGAACTATATGCTTATGTTCTACTTGAATCTATAAAGAAAAGAGAAAGGGATAAAGGAGACTAAGCTCTGGGTGCAGGGCCCAAGCACTTGGGCCATCTTCTACTGCATTCCCAGACTATATAAGAGAGCTGGATTGGAAGTGGAGCAGCTTGGACTCAATCTGACACCCATATGAGATGCAGGCACTACATGTGGTGGCTTTACCTGCTACAGCACAGAGCCAGCCCCATGCTTCACTTTTTGATGAACCACATCTCAAGCTTTTGTTCTCTTACATACATTAGGAGCACATCCCAGGTCTACAACACTAAAGGATAGGGAGTTGCACAATGACAAACCATGATAGGGCTTGGCACTCAGGTGCAGCTGTTGAAGCTGCTGCTTGTCAATCCAGCACCCCATATCAGAGTGTTGGGTGATTCCCAGCTGCCCAGCTTCATATGCAGCTCCTTGTTAATGTATACTCTGGGAGTCTTTAGGTGATGGCCAAAGTGCTTGCTCAATTGCTACCCATATGGGAGATCTGGATGGTGTTCTGGGCACCTGGCTTTAACTTGGCCCAGCCTTGGCCATTGTAGACATTTGGGGAGTGACCTGGTGGATGGAAGATCTCTCTGTCTCTGCTACTGGTCAGCTGTCTCACTTTATCTTTCTGTCTTGCTGTCATTCTGCAATTCAAATTACCAGAAAGTGGGGATCAACAGCAGCCAACATTATGGCACAGCAAATTAAGGTACTGCCTGCAACCATGGCATTCAATATGAATGCAGCTTCGAGTCCCATTTTCTCCAGCTATGATTTAGCTCTTGCTAACATGCCCAATGAAGCAGCAGAAGATGACCCAAGTCCTTGTGCCTCTTGTTTTATAGGAGACCTGGTGAAGTTCCAGGCTCTTGGGATTGACCTGGCCCAATTCCAGTCCCTGTGGCCATCTGTGAGTGAACCAGCAGATGGAATATTTCTCTCTTTATCTCTGTCTCTCTCTCCCCTCCCTCCTTCCCTCCCTCCCTCCCTCCCTCATTTCCTCCTTCTTTGTCTCTTTGTAAATCCACTTGAAATTAAATGAAACTTAAAAACTTTTATTTTGTTACTTTGGTGTGTTTGAGTGTGAGAAAGAGAGATCTTCCATCCTCTGGTTAATTCCCCAAATACCTGCAATATCTGGTGGTGAGCCATGCCTAAGCCAGTCACCTTAATGCTCAATCCTGGTTTCCCATGTC